TTTCCTGCGGCATAGGAACACCCAACTTTCACCAAAAAAAGCATGAAGGAAGGCCAAAAATCCAGGATTTCCACTATCAACCTCGTCCTTATATTATTAGACTCGTGAGTAATAAACAGGCTGGACAACCTGCCCTTGTTGACTTCTTCTAAGGAGCTGAGCTGTGTTTGGAGTGAAGAATGTGATCCGGGTCCAAAGAAAGTCCTACCTTTGTTGTAGACTAGGAGGAAATTCCATCAGCCTTTTGTATCTCAGGCAAGTGTCAAGTTTTGGACACTGTGCAGGAGAATAAACTGCTCTGTTTCATGGATGATTGAGAGGGAGTGACTGTTATGGCTCTCCAGCAATATCCCTGTACGTTTTTGAGGGTCCTATCTCACTTTTGGACAAGTAACGCTCCTCTATGCATGCGGTCCCTTGAGTTGACTCTACTACCAGAGAGTGTCTTCCTTCTCTTACAACAGGACTCATGGAATATCCCTGAATCACTGTGGCTCTGAATTACTCTGTGACCCTTGGCATGCCCTACTGTACATCTCTATGACTACCTTATCTTGCACCTGCAATCTACGGAGCTTCTGATAGTTTGTACTCTGCTCTCTTTTCTCTATGAGCAGAAAAAGACCAACAACAAACCGCTGTTAAGTTGGGTGGTAAAACTGGACTAACTGTTAGTACGATAAGGAAATGGGTGTAGAGTACACCATGGCGTGGATGTATCTGGTCTTTTCTCTACATGTGCAGAATATGAGAGGGAGGCAATGCAGGCACAGTGCAGAAAAATGCTGCACACCACAAGGATCACCTGAAAGGCAGGTGAAGGGGTAAGAATGAACCCCCAAGTCACTCTTTTCCCTCTGCTTATCTGAATAAGCAGATTCCCTCTGCTTATCTGAATAGCTCAGAAGTGCAGAGTTATTCCTCAGAGGAGCACAACTACTTATAAAAACAGAAAATTCTGCACATTCTTGTCCAGTTCAGAAGAAATCATTCCCATCGGAAAGCTCTCACTTATAAGATCTTTCCATTAGAGCCTGCCAGAAGGACAGAGTATTAACATATTCATTTCAACCATTTAAGATTTCAAAAGAGTGGAAAAAATCAATAAAAAGAACATTTGAGTATCACTGTTGTGCATAAACTTCTCCATCTGCCACCCCCTTACCTTTTGTTATGCTCAATATTTCTATGTTATATACTTTTATAGATGCTTACCATAACAGTGAACACGACTTTTTTCAACAAAATAATAGGACAATGAATTAAAATCAGCAGTAAAATATCAAAACGCTATGTGATTAACTGACAGAAATATACCGAGGATTTGTTATTAATGTACTCTCTGTTCCTTCTTATTGCTCTAATCTCGAGTTGTCTTTTGCTAAGAATTAATACAATTTGCCTGACCAAAAAGACACTTTAAATATATATATTCTCTCCAGCAGGAAAAAGCCTTGTGTTCTTACCTGTCAGAAGAGTTCTCCTGGCTATGTGATTTTTAAAAAATGCAGGAAGAAGCAAACAGACCGAATCATTTACAGACTGAAGTAGTAGGAGCAATTCTCCACTAATTGGAGAAGTGTAATGGGAACAAACTGGCCCAAATCACTTATTGACTGGGACTAGCATAGGAATAGTAGTAGTAGGAATAGTAGTAAGTAGGAGGAGTGTTTCTAAGCTAATCGGAGAACAGTAATTGGAGGACTTCGCCCCTCATCGCCCCCCCTCCCATAATAGATTCCAGCTTGTTCAGAGGACAAAAACAGGATTGGGCTCTATATATGTCTATATATGTCTAGATGTCTTCCATTCAGATCTGGTCAGTTTAAGTGTCTGCACTGTTGATATCTCCAGCTCAGTTGGTATCTTTAGGTTCTCCTCATGGCCAAAAGGTCTAGCCCAAGAAAAGAAGACTCTCTAGGTCACTTAGAGGCCATAGAATGGTTTAGTCTGCAACATATCATCTCACCACCAATGTGACAGCAGGATGTTGGCAAAGCTTTGCATCATGAGGAACCTCATGCTGGTGATGAGAAATTTCCAAACTCTAGTGCATAGCGAAACTCTTATAACCTCATAATTTGCTTGATATGAGTGGCTAGCACCATGGCATGGAGCAGACTCATGGAAAACATGAATAGGATGCCAATACCATGCTCCAAATCCTCATCCCATGTTGGCGTTGGAAGTGCAGCTTCTCTACCCACTTG